GTCACACAGCTAGAAGGCAATAGAGCAAGGATGGCAATGCTGGTCTTTCGGATCCTACTTTCTCCCAGTGGAGGGGCCCTGCTTCCACCTGAGCAAAAGCAGAAAGACCCCCCCCCTTGAGCAGGGTCTTCTGTTCCTGTGGGGCTGCGAGCCATGGGGCACTCACAGGGCTTTCTCTCTCTTCTCCAGGGCTTCTGGGAAGGTGGGCAGGGACGCCTCACTCTCCGGTAGACCTTGAGATTTCAGACACAGACGTCTCCCCATGGCTCCTTATTTCATCCGCATATACCAGGAGAGTGACCGCAAGGCGGCGGTGGACTTGCTTTCCCAGGGCATCACTGAGCACATCCCTGCCACTTTCCGCCACCTGCTGAAGCTGCCCCGAACTCTCGTGCTCTTAGTTGGGGGCCCCTTCCTCCTACTCCTGGTCTCTGGCTCCTGGCTCCTGGCTGTCACATTCAGCCTCGCCCTCCTCCCTGTCCTATGGTTCCTTGCCGGCCTTCCGTACAGGCAGTTTGTACACATGAGTTTGCAAACAGACATGGCTGACATCACCAAATCCTACCTGAGCAAGCCTGGCTCCTGCTTCTGGGTGGCTGAGTCTGCAAAGAAGGTGGTGGGCACAGTGGGAGCTTTGCCCGTGGACGATCCCACCTTGCAAGAGAAGCGGTTGCAGCTGTTTCACCTGGTCGTGGCCTCTGAGCACCGTAATCAGGGCATAGCAAAAGCCCTGGTCAGGACTGTCCTCCAGTTTGCCCGTGACCAGGGCTACAGTGCAGTTGTCCTAGATACTAGCACCATGCAGCTCTCGGCCATGACCCTTTACCAGAGCATGGGCTTCCAGAAGATCCACGAGTTCTTCTTCTGTGCGAGTGCAAGGCTAGTCCATCTTAAGATAATTCATTTCATGTACCGCCTCCCTTCTGCTCAGACACAGGCTCTGTGATCTCTTTCCCTGTGCATTAGTCAGGACACGGTCCCCAGTGCTGTAGTAATAAACAAACACTGACCTTTCAGTACCAACACAATAAAAGCTCTTTGGTCATTCACATCAGAGTCCCACCTGTCTGGAGGTGAGGGAGCATATGAGGTAATGGTTCATTCAGTCTTTTGTGGTCACCTCTGTTTAGTTTTCCAGTGCCATGATAGTGTTGCATAGGAAAATACCAGAAAACAATAGTGAACATTGCTTTAACGCATTAGCCTATGGACCAGCAATTTTGGCTGGGCTTGGCTAGGCAGCTCTCCTTGTCTCAAATGGCTGAGCCAACCCTATGGTAACCCCATGGCATTGGCTCAGTGACGGGGTGCCAGCTATCTTCTTTTCCCGAAGGTTGTCTTAGGCATGGTTTTATGGTAATTGCAGAGGAGCAAAACCAGAAACAAGCAACTGCAGTTTGAAGTCCCTGCAGGTGTCCCATCTGCTGACACCCCAGACTCAGGTAAACACTGACCTGGCTCTGCAGTGAGAGGACCTACAAAGTCACATAGCAAAGGGGTGAGCGTGTCATGGGGAAGAATCGAGGCCAGTGACATAGTCATCGTGCTATAGCCCACAGGGGTGTGCGGGGCAAGAAAGTGGTCAGGGATAAAGTGTTGGATCAACATGGGCTTGACTGCTACCTAGCCACAGACCCCGGGCAGGACTGGAGGGAGGCTTGTTACAGGCTCTTCCCCAGTGTTCAGGAACAGGGCATGGGATTGTGTATTTCACACATGTGTCACACTTGGGACTCAGTCTCTGTCCCTGAAAACTCAGGGACTCCAGATTTATCTAAGTGCCATGTGCCCAGCCACATCAACCTCTGAGTCTCAGATCCAGTGGCAAGTGAGGACTGGGGCCTGTGAGGATTTGGTGCATGGAGCCCCTTACCCAGCCAGTTCATCACCAACACTGGGTGCACCCAGAGTGGGCAGGAGCCTCTCCCTTGGTCCTTCCAGGCCTGAAGCCAAGTCCTTGTTGATCCGGGAAGTTCAGGTGCCCTTCCAGTCAGGTTTGTGCTGTACATGGGCCCTGGCAGTGTCCTCAGCTTGCGGCTGACTTCTGAAGGGTTTGGCCATGCCATGCCATGCTCAGTCCTGCCAGCTAGTTTTGCAAGTAGGTTTCTACTAAACGGAGAACCTTTGCCAAGAGCACAGGGCAGTTTCAAAGAATAGTGTCTTATTGCCCGAGACCACGGGCCTCCAGTCTGCTCTCCTACCCATCTATGCTGGTCTCTTTTCTCTTTGACCATGTAGGCTACCACACTCCTCTCTGTAAGGCCTTCTGCTTCCTCAGAAATGTCCCACAGTGCCTCTCTGGAATCCCAACTATCAATTTACTTGTGAAATTCCCCCCACTGCTGATGTGTTAAAAGAAGCCTCTGTTTTCTCTGGAGGTGTGGTTCCCACTTGTTACTGAGCAGTAGGTGCCAGCCTACCCTGCTGCTGGTTGCCTGGTTCTCCTCTCCCCACAAGGCCTGTGCCCCTCAGCAGAAGTTCCCAAGGGAGGACTAGTCTCAGGTCAGAAATGAGGGAGGTCCTCAGTGGTCCCTATGATTTTTTGCTCATTTACAATGAAATGGCTTCAGTAATCTCAGACAAGCATGGTCCAGGTCCTCCTGGGGCTTATAGGCCAGAAGTGGCTGAGAGACCAGTGGAAGGATGAAAAGGATACAATGTCATATGAGTTAATCAGGGGAGAACAGGGCAGTGTGGAGGGACAACATAAGCCCCCAATGGTCATTGGTGGACAGCTTCCTGTAGGGATAGGGCTTCTGTTCCCAGAAATTCACAGCCAGGAGTAGAGCTTGACCATTCCCAGCTCTATCCTCTGCTCCACTCCCCAGCCACACACAGCTGCTTCTAGTTCTTGTCACAGCTGAGCTCTTTCTGCTGAGCATGCTGTTCCCTTTGCCTGGAACACTCTCCTCCTCCCTCCCTTCATCACTCTATTGTTGGTTCAGAAGTTGTAAAACTTCTGAGCTGGGAGGGAAAAGTTCACCTGTTTTTATTCTGCCAGTTATTGTCATTTAGTTCTATGCTACTCGAAGCGTGATCCCCAGACTGGCTATAGCAGCATTGCCTGGAAACGTGGTAAAAATAAGTGTGGATGCAAAGCCTATTATGCCTACAAGATTAATATTAGCAGAGCCAGGCATAGGGGCTGACTCCTGTTATCGTAGCAGTCTAAGAGGCTGAGGTAGGTGGATTGCCTGAGCTCAGGAGTTCAAAACCAGCCTGAGTAAGAGACCCTTGTCTCTCAAACTACTCAGGCCTTGTGGCAGGCACTTGTAGTCCCAGTTAACTTGGGAGACTGAGGCATGTGGATGGTTTAAACCCAAGAATTTGAGGTTGCTGTGAGATATGATGCTACGGCACTCTACAGAGGGTGGCAGAGTGAGACTCTTGTCTCAAAAAAGAAATATTAATATTAGAACAACAGC